AATCATAAGGATTCAATCTGTACAGGTGATTAACAGATTTAGATTTACATTCCAAATAGAGGCCAAAACAAACACAACTAAAATCAACACATTACAGATTCAACACAACTAAGATCAAACAAAACAAACACAGAGGCCAAAATACAGATTCGATCGGTGTAGATTCCAAAACAAGAAGATCAGATTCCAAACACAGAGGCCAAAAAAAAAATCAAATTTATTTCCAAAGAAACACAGATTCGATCGGTGTAGAGATGAGAGATTATGAAGGAAGAGAGAGAGAGAGAGAGAGAGAGAGAGAGAGAGAGAGAGTTGATAGGTGTAGCAGAGATGCAAAACCAGAGAGTAAGACTGATGAGATGAAAGAGTGAAGGAGACAGATCAGATCAGAGAGATATCTGATATATATATATATATGTTGCAAAAAAAAAAATCAACGATCGGGGCGAGAGAGAGAGAGACATAGATTGAGAGAGAGAGTTTATCTGTGAGTAGATCGGTGGTGCGATGATCGGTGCGATGAGATGAATAACGAGAGAGTGAGAGAGTGATCGGTGAGAGAGTGAGAGAGAGAGACAGTGCTGCTGAGTTGAGATGAGACTGAGAGAGTGAGGGAGACGATTAGGGTTTTTTGTTTTGTTTGTTATAGATGAGGTGAGTGAAATGGAGATGGACGGTTAGATTTGAAAGAGGGAAAAAAAAATTAATTTAATGCGGGCGGGTTGGGCGGGTGCGGTTCAAACTCGCAACCCGCCCGCAACCTGAAATTTATATAAAATCCAAATCGCCCCCTACCCTAATGTGTTTGCGAAACCGCCCACACTCATGCAGTTCGGATCGGGTAGGGCGATTTGGGCGGGTCGAATAACCCTACGCCCATCCCTATGTACAATGATAGATCTTGGGGGCGGTTGCATGCTGAAAATTTAAAAAACATCTCATATTATATGCATTAATAAGATAATTCTTAAATTATTATATTTCGCACCTCCAAAATTATAAAGTTTTGCACCCTAAATTAATTATATGAAAGAATTTTTTAAATAATTTTCTAGTCAAGTTTATAAAAAATAAAAAATAAGTTCATTGTGTTTGCAATATGTGATATTTATTATATATATGGTTTAGAATTGCTTTTATTCTTGTATTTTCCCTTATTTGTCATCCTTTTTTGTTTTCAGTTTATGTGTCATTTACATTAGCGAAATTATCAAAAAAAAAAACCCCTAAAGTTGACCCTTTTAACAAAATAAACCTTGAGTTTTTAATTTCGTCTATTTATACTCTAATCTTTTTATTTGTTTTTAATCTAAACCATTTGTCGATTTTTGTTAAGTAAAACCGATAAAAAAAAATAATATTTTTAGTTATTAAACTCAACAAAAACAAATATTTTAGATATATTGAGTTAAATGACTAAAATATCATTTTTCAATCGGTTTTATTTAACGAAAACTGGAGAATGATTTAAATTGAAAATAAACTAAGAGATTATAATTTAAATTAACAAAATTAAAACCTATTGTTTATTTTGTTACAAGAGTCAAACTCAAGATTTTTTTTGAGGGTTAGTTTCCTTTTTATTTATTTAATTTAATTTATTTTATACATTGCACTTTAGTTTGCTTATTTCTTTTGTTCTATGCTTTATTTGTTTGTCATCTGAAAACAGAAATATTGTCGTGGACTATTTTGAATCCTAACATTTCAACCTAGTCCCGAGTCTCAATCCTTTAGTAGAATAAATAGAAATGATTTGGAGTACCAAATGTGCCTTATTTATAAGTATCGGCTAATTGTTTTTTTTTTTTTTAAATCTTTTTTGACACATAGCAACAAAAATTATTCTGATGGAGAAGATTAGTTACTTTAAACAAGCAATTAATCAATTACATAAGGATTTTTATGATGTCGTAGATCTTAATAATCTCTCCCCATTCTCTAAAGGCTTTGTACAATTTTAAGTGGCCATAGATAAATAAATATAACTAACTAGATGCATAACAAAATAAGATAAAAAGAGATCATGTTTACATTTAACATGACATTATTAAATTTAAATTTATACTAACTAGTTATCCTCTTATTCATAAGTTAATTTTCTTTTGTTAATTTTACATTTTTCAACTGTGTATAAAAAAACATACAGTTTAAAGGAAAAATCAGTGAAAAATCCATTCCAAAAGGATGCAAGACATTAGATTCAAAGTAAAATCTTATTTAGTGATAAGAATACGTTGAAAAGGTTGCTGGAAAAAGTCATCGGGAAATTGTTTGAAAAAGTCGCCATCCTCGCCGACAGCAGGCGGTGGTGATGAGGCAGAGAAATATGTAATATTCAACAGATAGGTTGTTAAATGAATGAAATGTGTCACATTTCAACAGATAGATAAATATGTTGATTTTAACAAATAAACAAATAAGTTGATTTTAAAATATAGTTGTCCTTTTAGCCCAAAGAGATTACAATTTGAGTCTAATGACCAAAAAAAATTAAAAAATAAACTTATGACCTGAATGCTCATACATTTTTAATATAAAAACTTGTCAAGACTAAACTTGACTCGAAAGATGATTTTCTAGCAACTTATTAGAATGTTTTTTCCATTAGCACGTTACATATGTGTTAGAGATTGTTATAGATAAAATGCAAATTATAGAGATTGTTAGGAATATATTAAAATGCAAATTATAGATATATATTATAGAGAAATGTTAGGAATAGATTAAATGCAAATTATAGAGATTGTTAGTGTATATATATATATATGTATATATTATAGTTAAATGTAAATTAGGATAAAAGGTTAGGAATAGATTAAATAATAAGGGATTTAATGTTAATTTGTGATTTAATTGAATTAATATTTTTTATGACAAATTAATGTTGTTTAACTTGGAAATTATGTGTATGAAAATAAGCAACGCGAAAAAATAGGGAAAATTACAACAACAAAACAAAACCTCTCAAGGCTTGATATTTGTAACAAAATAAAACTCTAATTTTCAATTGTCTATTTAAATTCTATAATTTTGATTTATTTTTAATTTAAACCATTTGTTTGTTTATGACGCTCCATTTGTTTTGGTAAAAAACATTTTTTAATGAAAAATAATTTTTATGGAAAGCTTTTTTCATAAAATATTTTCTACATATTTTTTATTTTTTATTTTTTTTAATGTTTGGCGGTGGACGAAAGTGGAGGTGGAGGTGGACGCGGTGGCATGGTGGTGATGGTGACATGATGGTGGCGATGGCCATGGTGATGGTGGTGTGATAGCAGAGGTGAGAGTGGTAGTGGTGTGGTGATATTGATAAAATTTTAGTTTGAAAAACTTTTTTTTCCTTTTAAAAGTAAAAAATATTATTTGCCCAAATAGCCTTCTTTTTCATTAATTATGAAAAATATTTTTCGTTGGCTTTCCTTTTTTATTGCACCAAACATTAGAAAATCTGAAAATTATTTTTTAAAAAATATTTTCTGCTAAAACAAGCGGAGTGTAAGTAATATCGATGAAAAAAAAGAGTATTTTACTCATTAAATTTAATGAAAAGGGGTATTTTATATATACATTGTATTTAATAACTAAAATACTAACTTTTTGTTAATTTTGCTTAATGAAAATAAACGAATGTTTTAGATTGAAAAAAATCAAAATATTAGAATTTAAATTGATAAAATTAAAAACTTAGAATTTATTTTATTAAAAAAGTCAAATTCTAAAAAAAAAAATAATAATTTATAATTGCCCCAAAAAAATAAGAAAGAAAAGCTAGATAGATATTATAGTCATTTCATATTCGTCGTTAACAAAGTTATGGTTATAATTAGTCTAAAACCATAAGAGAATTATTTACATATTTTTAATAAAGTGACTAAATGACAAAGTGTTAAGTAAATATATATATATATATATACACATACAAAGGAACATGTCTTTGGACCAATCACCACGCAATAAACCTGAATACTAACTATTAATTGCAAATTAAAGTGTTGATGGAATTATTTAAATAAGTATATTTAATTCTTTATGAAAAGACGTGTAAAAAAATAAAAATGTGATATTATCCAAATAAATTCATTTATTTAGGGGATGTCAAATAAGCTCTAAGCGTGACAGATACTAATAGTGGTGGACAAACATCAGGCTGAGCTGGGCCAGGTTTAGGCCGGGCCGACACTACATAATAAGGAATTTTGTAGCTATAAAAGCCCAGCCCTAACATCGGGCCACTATATTTGTCCAAACCCGGTCTAGAAAGTAATTATAAATCACAAGTTCGCCTATCGGACTATATGTTAAAAAAAAAAATTAAAACATTCTATAATTAAATTCAAGCACACATTATATTTATTAAATAAATATATCGATATCATTATAAATTGAAAGATTTTGTGTATAAGTTGAAATATTTTCTAAATAAATTCAATTATACATCACCACAACTATGAGTTTCAATAAAATCAATAAAGATAAAATCTAAATTCTAACAAAATATATATTTAATGTATTATAAATAAATAAATAGTTAATTAATTTAATGATGGGCTTTGAAAATATTGTTGAACCCGATCCTATGAACAATAACAATCTTTCCAAATTCTTAAAAACATAAAATTGAACCGGACAAACTAGGCGACCGAACGGCCGATATCCACCCGAGACTTGAATACGAGATGTTTTGAGGGTTCGTCGCAGTGGCTCACCAGAATTTGCTTCCTTAATATAGCCCAGTGGTTAAAAAATAAATAAACAATCATATATATGATTTCCACAACTTTCACTCTCATTCCAACTACTCGTAATGTGGGGCTCACACATATATGAGTGGACCCCACACGCTAAGATCAAATTGAAGATCGTGAAACTCCCAAAAAAAAAGGGTCTCAAACATTTTCCATAAATAAATAAAAAGGCCACGTTTTAAAATAGAATATTGGAATCTTGGAGCTAATGATAACAAATATTGATTTAAAAAGCAGGGGGACTTCACATAATACAAACAATAAAAAAAACACTCATTAATTTCATGTTGTTTGTACAATAATGGGTACTTTATTTGTTCAATACAAATGAAAATAGCACATCAACAGAAAAGCAATATTCCAATTCCCTGGCTTTGTACAACCATGAACGAGTAAAACAGAGTTAAATTTAGTGACAAAAAATAAATAAATAAAAACAATCATACAAAACACACTCCAATTAATGTGACCCAAATCTTCAAGTGTATCTGGTGATACTATGTGAAAACTAGTAGCTGGTGATACTATGAATGGCTCCTATGTATAGAAGCTGTGTAACTGAAAGGATAATTATGAAGGCTTCCAATGTTCTCTGCAAATATAGAGACATTATATGTTATTATTCATAGGTTTCTAATAAATTAAGCCAAATGAAGAAACTGCGAATGCATAAAAAGAAAAAAAAGAAAAAGAAAAAAAAAGGCTGTTTTGTTTTGAGTTACTTACCAATCGCGAATTCCTGATTTGTAGGTAAATCTCTTTGCAGGCAAAGCTGCAGAAATAGCATTGCTAGTTAGATGAAATGAAATCACAAAGCTGATTCAAAACTTTTATTTTTAACTAATTGTCAATGCTTCAAAGAGAGTGAAATTTGGGATAATTGAACATTAAGTGGGATTTTTACGCACGAATCCTCAAATACCGGTGTCTTGTAACATTTAGTTGTGTTTGAATTATGTATTTAAACCCATAATCTAAACCCAACATTACAGTTTATTATTATTTTTTGTTACAAAAAGACATAAAATAAGTTTTTGTTTATAATTTTAAGCTTAAAAAATAAATAAAAACTATAAATATAAATGTTACCAAATGGGTTAATAGTTACCATTTCATGAAATCAATTGAAAAATATGTATATCATGTTTTGACAATACCATATATTTAGGGTTTATTGGTGATAGTCTATTTTTATAGAAATATGACATTAGGTCAAAGGATTGATCTTTTATAGGGATAAGGACATGATTAATGAAATTATTTTTCTAAGAAAGATTGTTTTGAAGGATTTGTTTTTTCATTTTTAAACCACTGCCTTTAAATCATTGTTAGACCATCGCTGAACCATTGTCGGCCCAGCACCAACTGGCCACTAGCACTGGAAAAGTTGCTAGAAAGATGGTTGAAAAGTCACCAGCGGTGGTCGACGACAAGGATTGGTGGTGGTGGTAATACAGACAGATAGATAGATTAGGTGAAAAAATTGGTGACATGCAAACAAATAAGTGGATGATACATAGACAGATAAGCGATGTGCACATATAGGTAGATAATGGACAAATAAAAAGATATGTATGAGTAACATGATTTTTCAAATTATTTTGTCATTTTGGCTCCAAAATAATATAGTTTGGAGATATTGCCCTAAAAATTTTGAAATTCGACTTACGACTCGAGTTCTCTATATTTTACACTAAACATTTATGCAAGCTTCTATATTACATTAAAATGTCATTGAAACAGGAAGTATTTAGCCATCAAATTATTTAGTTTTAAGTTTTTAATTTTTTCCCCTAGACATAATAGTAAATGTCTTACCCCATGGCAAGGAGGGTAAGGCTCCAAGCAATGGTGGCAGCAGAAGCGGCAGAAGGCAAGCTGCTGGTGTGCCAAAAACGAACGTGGTTGAATCCAGCGATGACTGATGCAACACCAACCACGCTCGCGATCAAAGCGAACACTACAAAGAATCCTGTGGCTGCATTTCCCATTGGGAAGTATATAGGAGAAAAGTGTGCTGGAAGATCAAATCCTGGACCTGTTAAGACATCACAAATTGAATTGTTATATACATATAAGCATATGTACCTCCCCAAAAAAAGAAGAGGAAGAGTGATTTATATAGACCTATGATGAAGCCATGATCAATAGCTCTATTCATTGCCCATCCACCAATGCCTAGAACCACGACAAACATGCAGAAGTTGAGGATTAAGAGTACCGCTGCAACGGGCTTTAACTGGCCATCAGCCATTGTTGGTTCTGTAAATGGTGGTATAGGATGAGAAGCTGTTAAAGAAAGGTGTGGGTACTAAATTGTTAAGGAGTAGGGAAGATTGGTGAACATACATTTGTTTTGTGCAAGTGGAAGGGGGTTTTTATAAATGGCCTTGTGTTAGAATGTTCTTTCTTTTTTTATTCTTTCCTTGTATAGCCTTTTTGTTCCAGAGGGAATTTGTGGGGTTGCAAAGGTGATGCTTTGTATTGAAGGCAAGTGAAGAAAATTCAGATTCTTTGTTGGCTTGGCTTGGCTTACATTTTTGGGTTATTCTTTTCTAGGTGGTAACATTCTTTGTGTGCAGCTTTGTACCAATTCCATTTCTTTCTGTTAAGGAGGGAAAGTGATATTCTTTGCCAGTTGGAGAGGTGCTTTTGTGTCAAATTGTGAGGATCCTACCTATCCAATCATATCATGCCATCTGTTTGACAAGTTCCTATGTTAAATAATAGGGTGATTATTCAGTACTCCCGGAGTATGGACACGTGGTGCTCCATAATGTTTTGATTGGTGAAGAGATACAAGGGCCCACGATTTATGTTGGAGATGGGGGACAACATGGGGCTAACTGATTGGTGATTGGTTTGGAGTATGGACACGTGGTGCTCCGGGAGTATTGAATAATTTCCCTAAATAATAATATCAAATCTAAACACAATATTTCAAATAAAGTTCAATAATTTCATCAAAAATTGTTGGTCAAGCAGTACTCCACACCACTATGACTCGTAATTAGAACAGTTAACAACCACAATAAGTAACTCTCCACTGATTATGGTCGCAAAGTAATAAGACCCACAAGTAGGACTATTGGTGACACAATCACAATAAGTAACTCCTTATTAGTGAAATGGGTAAATTACATTCACACCCTTTGAGGTTTATTTTTAATACAAGTTGCCCCTTAAGTTCTGAAAATTACATTTTCTTCCCTGTGGTTTAAACTTTCATTACAATTTTATCCTTCCGTTAAGTCAACTAATGGAAAAACTAATATAATAAATTAATTTTTTTAAATGCCTAATTTACTCCTATTAAAAAAAAATTCTTAAAAAAAAAAAATTACTAGATGAATAAAGAAAATCTGTAAAGAATTACAAAAATTCATTTAATACTAATACATATACTATTATAGTATTAAACATTTAGGTAATGCTATGGTACACAAACTTTTGTGGTGTTAATTATCACAAATATTATAATTAGATCATTTTCAATCATAATTAAAAAAAATAGTTATAATTAAACACCGCATAAGGCATAACTAAATACCTTTTAAATTATAACCAAAATAATGTTATAATCAATAGTTATAATTAACACCATAATATGTTATAACCAAAGACCATGACTGGAGCATATAAAATTTCCTTAAACGGTAAATTGTTTGTCAATTTTATATATGCAAATAAGGGTAAAATAGACATTTTAAAAATTAATTTCTTATATTAGTTTTTCCGTTAGTTGACTTAACTGTTGATTAACGGAAGGATAATTGTAATGGTAGTTTAAATCTTAGGGAGGAGGATGTAATTTTCAGAATGCGAGAGGGTTTTTTGTATTAAAGACAAACCTCAAGGGGTGTTAATGTAATTTATCCTAAAATTCAAGCAAAATTTATTATTAAATTGGTATGTCAAATTTAGTTATTAAAAAAAAAAATTGTCGATATGTCAAATATTCTTGATATAACATCAAATCTAAACACAAAATTTATAATAAAGTCCAACAATTTCATAAAAAATAATATGAAAAGATCATTTTTCTACAATTATAAATTACCTTAACAGACTAATATGAAAATATCACTTTTACCTTTAAATTGATTTTTTATTTTTAAATTGCTTCTTTGAAATTTCAATTTTACTATTATTTTTAGCAAAGTTTCTGTAATTTGTCTATTTAAATATTTAATTTTGATAATTTTTCATTTATTAGTTATATATTGTCGTCTCTGTCTTCTCTCTCAATTCTTTATGTTCCCCTCTATCTCCCTGTGTGTTTAAAATATGATCACACAACTAAAGTGAATCCAACTCCAAAATTATGGGAACAAAATGAAGAGCATGTGCATTAGATGGGTCTAATACTTGCACACGCGAAACAGAATACCTAAACCGGTTGCTACCAATCGGGAGGACATTCTGACAATCTAGTCAGTAACAATATCTCGCAAGAAAAATTGGTAGAATAACAACTCACAAGGTAAAACGTACCTTTGACCCATAGAATGCCTCTCTTTATATAATAACCTCTGTCATCCTCTTCCTAGAAATAGTACTCTTATTCATAACAAGGAATAACACATTTTCATGGACTCACCTCTCCTAGTTAGATTAGGATTTGTTTCTCTCAATAGTCTTAACTCGCCCAACTCAGGAATCTGTCTTCACCTAGGACTCAAGTCCTTTGAATATCTCAAATCCGGTGAGAACATCGCATCTTGGCCAATCATTGTCACCCACATGGCACCTCGGCCAACAACCAAGCCACATAGACAACTCAAAAATTATATTCCCACAGTGTGCATCTTGCTGTAATTTTGTTCTCACTTTTTTATGGTGACATGCGTATTTTATATTATAATGTTATTATGTTCAGAAATTAAAAACAAAAACCAAATTAATAATAAAATTCAACAAAAAATTAAACTCCCCAAAAAAATAACAATAATAAAGAACGGTTAACTTGAGGATAAAATAAAATTTTGACATCACACTAATCTTTAGTTATCTTACCGCCAAATAAAAATCGGATTCAATTGGATTGTAATAGATCTTACTAAGGCTTCAATGCAATGTTGTTCCATTTGAGCAAAACTACTGCTTAGACCCTTAATCCTTAGCTGTGTTTGGAAACGCAATATTGCTCCATTTGAGCAAAACTCATGACTTCGCTACTGCTTAGACCCTTACTCCTTAGATGTGTCTAGGAGAGATTTGGGTCATCCGATAAGTCTTTGATGTTGTGTTTTGATTTTAAATTTATTAAAAAAAGAAACAAAAGTGAACATAAGTAAAAGAAGATGATATTTTTGAGTCGAGGAACTAATTGTTTTGGTTGAGTGAGGAAAATGAGAACTACATGAAAAGAAAATTAATCACAAATTTTATTTTTTGGTTACTTGCCCATATATATATATATATATATTTGGCAAAACAAAGATTCAAACATCTTCTAAAGTGTTGTCTGTTAAATTGAAAAATTAAAAATTAAATACCGAAAACTAAATACTGAATTTCTTAAATTTTAAATTTATTTGATAAAAATTTCATTATTGAATAAGAACAAATTATTTGATGTGTACAAAATAAAATTTGAGATTTATTATTTAAAATTTTTTCTTCTAATTTTTATATTGTGATGTATGACAATCGCTATGGTGCCAATGTTGATGGTAGTAGAGGTGGAAGGATAGTGATTGTGGTGATGATGGAGGGGTGGGGTAGAGAAGAATGTTGATGGTAGTAGAGGTGGAAGGATAGTGATTGTGGTGATGATGGAGGGGTGGGGTAGAGAAGATAGATGAGTGGTGGTGGTGGTGACAGTGATGTATAAATGGTAGTAGAGATGTAAGGATCGTAGTAGTGGTATAAGAGAAATGATAATAGTAACAATGACCATCGTGGTGATGGTAATTAAATGATGGTAATATTGTTTATAGCTATGATGTAAGAGAGGTGGTAGTAGTAACAATGACAATCGTCGTGGTGGTAATTAAATGATGGTAATGTTTGTGGCTATGATGTGGTGGTAGCAACGGTGGTAGTGGTAGTAGTAGTAGTGGTGGTTTTTGGTGATGGTGGTAACAGTAAAATCATAAGAATGAATGTCAATGATTATGCATAAGTAATTATAAATTTAAGGGACGTTTGATAACTTGATTTAACACTTAAAATTGAATATTTAAAAATTAAGTTCGTTTGATAATCAAATTTGAGATCATTTAAGTGCCTCTTAAAATGTAGGTTTTAAAATTTAAAAAAAAATTAAGTCATATGAAATTTATTTAATTTTGATTGAATTTATAAAAATACTAAACATAAGTATCGATATACACTATAATAAACTCATTATTATCACCATTATTGCTACCACTATCACTACCACTACCACTACCATCACCACCGCCACTACCACTAACACCACCACTACTACCACCGTCACTACCACTACCACCAGCACCATAATGCCACCACCACTATTATTACCACCACCTATATCATCATTGTCATTGTTTCCATAAACACCGCCATCATTTTACTATTATCACCACTACAATCGTCCTTGTCACTACTACAACCACTACAACTCTTCACTTCTACAACCATTGACACCATTATCATAACCACCACCACAACAACCACTATCATTATACCGCCGCTACCACCTCTTTTTTTATCTCCACAATGTTACCCTTCTTCCATCACTGCAGCAACTACCCATCTATGTCTACTACCATCGCCATTAACATAGTTAACGGTGCCGCCTTCTTCTCCTCCTCCACCCCACTAACTCACCATAATAATATAAAAATTGAAAGATACAATTTGAATATAAAAAATTTCAAATTTGATCTTATACATACCAAACAACTTGTTTTAGTTGAGCACTTAAATTTTTATTAAACAACTTTTCTACTTAAAAAATTTAACATTCAGTACTTAATTTTTAATTTTATCAAACACCACCCTAGGGAACAATAAGTAAGAATCTTATTACTTAAAATTTTTTTAACTTTTATTTCATGCATTACAATAATTTGTAACTGACACAAATCATGCTTATCAAATAAATTTAATTGATTTTCACTACATGTGAAATTGGGTTGTGGATTTGGTAATTCTTTTTTTGGGAATTGAATCAGAAGTTTTATTAGGAAGATGGGTATATCACTAAGTTCTTTGGACTTTTTGGTGCATCAAAAAATCCCGTTCACTTTTAATTGTTATTACAAAATATTTTTTAAAATTTTTAACGGCATTTTCATAAAAAAATTTCACTAATTATTAGTTTTTAGAGACAAATTTAGAAAATCGTCACAGAAAAATAACACTAACACTTAAGAGATTAAATTTAAAACAAAAATGTAATTCTCACCCTATTTGATATCGTTTGATGAAATGGTCGGGACTCACATTTTAAATATTTTTCATCAAATATAAATTTATTGACAGATTTAACGGAAATAGCCTAGTAAACTGTTTTTTGGGTTTTTTTTTTTTTGTTGAAAATTTTCATTTCTCCCGTAGGCTGGCTAGTAACTTGCTTGGTGTTTCTGTAACGACCCATAGGCATGGTAGCATTTCCCGCTATTTTTCGAAGCCTCATCAGATCATCTTCACCAAAATCTTTCTTCTTTACTATCACTAAAATCTCTAATTCTTTCCTTGGGCTTGCCTCCATTTATACCAAATCAAACTTCTTCTCTTTCACTTCTGTGCTCTCTCATCACCTAAAGAACCAAAATTTAGACGAAGCTCGTTTTATTTTCGATAAAATCCCTCTCCCCAGTGTTCATTTATGCACTAAGATGATCGCGGGTTACGCTGAAAACTGTAGACTCGATGATGCCTTGAAACTGTTCTACAAAATGCCTGTTAGAGACACAGTTTGTTGGAATTCAATGATTAAAGGGTGTTTGAGTTGTGGGAGTTTGAATATGTCCAGGAAACTTTTTGATGAAATGCCTGAAAGAAATGTGGTTTCTTGGACAACCATGATTAATGGGTACTTGCAGTTTGGGAGAATTGAAGTGGCCGAGTGCTTGTTTCGTGAGATGCCTATGAGAGATATAGCCGCTTGGAATTCGATGATTTATGGGTATTTTTGTAATGGCAGAGTTGATGATGCTATGAAGTTGTTTGAGGGAATGCCTTGCCGGAATGTGATTTCGTGGACTTCGATGATTAGTGGTCTTGATCAGCATGGGAAGACCAACGAAGCTTTGTTTCTCTTTCAACAGATGGTGGTTTCTGGTGTTGAACCCACTTCAAGTACGTTTTCTACTGTAATAACATCTTGTGCAAATGTGCCCCATTTACAACTAGGTGTTCAGGTTCATGCCCTTGTTGTCATGCTAGGTTACTCTTTTGATGCATTTGTTACTGCTTCTCTAGTCACGTTTTATGCAAACTGCAAGCAAATTGATAATTGTTGCAAGGTATTTAATGAAAAGTTACACATAAATGTGGTTGTATGGACTGCTCTTTTGACTGGCTACGGTTTGAATCATAAGCACGAGGATGCATTGAAGGTTTTCAGTGACATGATAAAATTGGGTATCCTTCCGAATCAATCTTCTTTTACTAGTGCCTTGAATTCATGCTGTGAACTGGAGGCTCTTGATAGAGGGAAGGGAACGAGATTCATGCCACAGCTATTAAACTGTGTTTGGAAACTGATGCCTTTGTTGCTAATTCTCTTATTGTACTGTATTCTAAATGTGGAAATATAAAAACTGGAGTGGTCATATTCAAGAACATTGGTGAAAAGAATATTGTTTCATGGAACTCAATTATTGTTGGATGTGCCCAACATGGGTATGGCATGTGGGCACTGGCATTCTTTACCCAAATGATACGTGTTGGGGTAGACCCAGATGAGATCACATTCACTGGGCTGCTTTCTTCTTGTAGCCGTTCCGGGATGCTACAAAAAGGAAGGTGCCTTTTTGAATATTTTAGCCAGTGTAAAGCCATTGACATGAAGCTTGAGCACTATGCCTGTATGGTGGATATCTTGGGCCGATGTGGGAGGTTGGAGGAAGCAGAGGAGTTAGTTAAAAACATGCCCATGAAAGCAAATACAATGGTTTGGCTTGCTTTGCTTAGTGCTTGTAGGATGCATTTTGATTTTGAATTGGCTGAAAAATCTGCTTATTGCATTTTTGATCTAGAGCCAGATTGTAGTGCCGCATATGTTTTGTTGTCCAATTTATATGCTTCTGCTGGTAGATGGAATGATGTTGCCAGAATAAGAGTGAAGATGAAAGGGAGAGAAATTAAAAAACAACCAGGACAGAGTTGGCTTACTTTAAAGGGACAGAGGCATGTATTTCTTTCAGGAGATGGGTCCCATCCTTCATGTGAGAAAATATATAAAAAATTGGAATGGTTGGGAGAAAAGTTGAAGGAAATTGGTTATGTTCCTGATCAAAGATTCGCTTTACATGATGTTGAGGATGAACAAAAGGATGTGATGTTGTCTTATCACAGCGAGAGGCTAGCTATTGGGTTTGGGCTGATTAGTACTGTTGAGGGCAGTACAATTACAGTGATGAAAAACCTTCGTGTATGCGGAGATTGCCATTCTGCCATTAAGCTCATGGCAAAATTTGTTGGGCGTGAAATTATTGTAAGAGATTCTAGCCGCTTTCATCACTTCAGGAATGGCTTTTGTTCTTGTGGGGATTACTGGTAACACTATCTTGGGTTGTGTTCAAATGTTTTCAGAATTTTAAACACTTTGGAGGCCACATATTGCCTTTGATGACTTTTAGTTTAGCCTATTAACGCATGATATATCATTAGCAGAAGCAGGAATACTGTCCACAGATTGTTGAGAGGTTGATATGACTTGCTTGTGATAGCAAAAATGGTTATGTTTTAGGGCAGGCCAATTGTCTGAATCCAGATGTCAAATATCATCAATAGGTTGGAATTGATGTCTTCGGTAGCCTACACTTGGCTGGAGGGAAAAATTATATCCGGCGAACACCCCACCCCCGCTGCTGGGTTCAATCTATCTTCACTGCAATGTTTTTGAACCAGCGACCAACATCATCAAGATCCAATCGTGGCGAGTTTTGAGAGGCAACAACCATCCAAAATCAACCTCTGAGTTCCAACAAGTGACTCTAATGCTTATATATAGTCGGTGATCATCAACTTCAGATTTTCTAGATGAGCAAAAAGAGTTGATGGCTAATAAGAAGAAGAATTTGACATGGAAGAGTGATATCTATGAACTTACTATTGATTCACTAGTGGAGAAAATGCTAAAAGCTAGATTGGAGGAACTTTTACGTCAATTGCCTATAGAACCGTGGCAAAGGCAGTGAAAGTGAAATTTGGAGTATGTTGTGCACCTAGTTCGGTTGGCTTGTGATACTCTGGTAGTGGATTTGGTTATAGCTATTCAACTCAAATGATTGAAGGAAGCAACAGCAGGTGTATGGGCTTCTGGCATCAAGGTGAAGACAAAGCATGTCAGATTCATTTTGCACATGATGAAGATTATGAATAAATATGTGGAGCATTCGGAAAATAGCATACAATTGGAAGTCACGCTGCAGGTTCAAAGCAAAGGCAGCTTCCTTGACTCATTTGAGTTCGGCGTTAATGCTAACAAGCTGGAGGATGTGCAGAAACTGGAAGTAAGTTGAACTGAACACTGACAAGTCCTCTTCATCTGGAGCTGTCTCCACCTCCACATCTAAGCTAGCTAAAGAATCAAAGAAGCGGAAGACAAGATTCACTAACATTGTGAGTGAGGAGTTTGTCCATTAAGGCCGATTTAGATGCTGTTGCACAAGCTCGTGATCATGGTAATCCTCAAGACTACGATGACCAAAAATTGTTTGATGAAATTGAGAAAGTTGGAGGCATGAATGAAACATCTCAAATGAAGGTCTACCAAGGACTTGTTATGATGTGGAGGTGCTCGGGTGTTCCTTGCTTACCCCATTGAGAGGCATGGAACTTTAGTTGTGAGGGAGGTTTTGACCTTGTTTGTGTGATGACCAGATTTAGGTGAGAACTCCCACTGGTTCTTGCCAGATATAGTCTCCCAAGCACAAGGTCATGGCTTTTGGTAACAATTGTTTAGGTGTTCTTGTACTTTTGAGGTTATAATATTTCTTTATTGATTTTCATTCTATTTTGATGTGAGCTCACTTTATCTCATTATTGTTATTTGGCTAAACTTGACTCAAATTTGAGCCCAAAAGTGAGATTAATTATTCATAGAACATGCTTTTGTCGATAGGACCCTGGAATTGTTTCTGATTGAATTATTCTTTAGTCTATTAGAGAAATATTGCATGGTTAGTCCTGTTATTAACAAGTTGAAGTGCTGTGAACACCTCATTGTTGGACTTATCTTGATGACATCATGAACTTCAGTCTCATACCCATGTTATTTTCTAAAGATAGTAAAAGTTGATTAGATGTTTTATAGCACTACTAATATGTTTCGCCAAATACAGGTAACTGAAACATAGTTGGATACTCCTGTTTCTGTTGAAACAACACTGTAATTTATTGCTATGCATTTGAAATATTTTTAAAACAATTCAGAATATGAAACATAATAAAACCAACTAATGCTTCAAAGTACAGAACATCATCGTTGACAAATGCATCAGTTTATCAAAAAAAATAAAACAAAAATAAAAATAAAAGAGAAAGCATATATAAAATAGTGTGTGAGATTTAGAGGCATGATGAGTCGTCCTAAATCTGCATGGGCTTCCCTCTGTGCAGATTCAAACAGACACACATAACTTCAAGATACGACCCAAAATACTCATGATGTTAATGGACAGTTTTAGCAGATGGGGTGCCAAGTCTGTAAACATGACTGTTGGGATACATTTTAAAATGGTAATATAATTTACATTTAAAAATGAGAAAAATAAAGTGGTACAAAGTTTTAAAGCTTCCCTATAAGCAAACTCCAACTACTCCCTGGATGGGTATCAGCATGTGAGAGTTATGTCAATGCATCAAAATAGTTCTAAGCTGTCAAATAATCTATCAATGTTAATCTGCTACATATTTCACATTACCTTCATCACTTTTTCTTTTCTTTTCGTTTCTTTTCTTTTTTTCTATTTTTTGTTGTCTTTCTGATTAAGATGAAGCTTCTTCATTTGTGTATATATTGGATTTATAGAGTTTGTTTTAACTTGAGCATCTGTATAAATTTGCTGATGATATGATACTAAAATGTTGGTACTTTAGTCCACAAGTTGTAAAGGCCATTATGCGACTTCAGGATTTAGCGACAAGAAAGCTGGTAGTAACAGGTTGGTTTTTGGGTATAAATTTGATTTAAGTTTGAAAATCTCACAGTAAACTGGTCAGCAACCAAAAATACTCAAAAACTTGCATATAAAAACGTTGCAAGCTTAAAACATACATAGTGGAGTGGGTAAAAATTCTATTGTTCATATGGACAAAAGTGGAGCCTTTCAGTGTTAACTAGGTAAGAACATAGACATTGAGTGCTCTAATAGAAATGTTAAAAGCAACTCCATCCAATGAACTGCAATGCTTAGCTTTTAACAAAAATAAAATTAAAAAATGCAATCCTCTATGAGTTATCACTGACCACAATTGGAGCATCCATAATAGTGGTCGAGTTGAATTGTTGTTTTTTAGTACTTTAATTGTTGTTCATATCCTTTGTCGTCATGTTAGTAGTCGAGTTGAATTATTGGTTGTGTTTGAAACAGGTTGGGAGTTAGTTTTTCGAAAGAGTTGCTGTCCAGTTTTCTTCTTGTTCGCTCAAGCAGTCTTTGAGATCTCCCAGTATTTTTGCAGGTCTGCAAAACTTCTGGGAGTAGAGTATCTTCGCTCAAGCGGTCTTTCTTGTGCTCGAGCGGTCTTCTATGATTTGCAAAAATTTTGGGAAGGGGTAATTGTGTGCTCAAGCGGTGTTTTGGTTGTTCGAGCAGTGTCACTTGTTGTCTCCGACATGCAGGAGTGGTGTTTTGGTTGCTTGAGCGGTCTACGCGCATATCAGTTCGGGAAAAGTGATTTTTGAATCACTTTTTCATCCCTCTCTCTCTCTCTCTCTCTCTCTCTAAAACATTTCAAAACCCTAATTTCGTCATTCTCTTTCTAGTTTTTGCCTAAAACCTCAAATACTCTATCATCCATTGATTTTTCCACCATTGCTCTTTGGAGAAAAAGGTAGAGCTCGTCGCAAGCTTCAATCTAATCGGAGAGGATCTCATTTTCGGTTCCACCAAAGTTTCACACTTGCTCTCTTCCTTTTTTACTCTTAAGGTAGGGATTTCTTCAACCTTTGGTATGATTTTTAGTCTAATTATTTGCTCATTGAAAGGATTTAGTGATTTGGGAATTTTGGGTTAAACCTAGAGTTCGATTTTGAAATGTAAAACAGAGATTTTCAAATGGGCGCTTGAGAAAGGTTGTGGAGATGTGTTTATGGTTGAGATATGTTGAAATGTTAAAATTTCTTTACTTAAATGTAATTTTGAAAGTAAATGAGGTTTTGTTCAACAATCATTTATATTTGGTTTATGAAAGAAAAGGAAAAAGATGTTGGGTTTTGAAATGATGAAATAGATGTATCTATTGATGATGAGGGTGGAGTTGGATTTGTAATATCGCTCCCATTTTAGAAAATGATGAGATTATATCTTTTGTTAAAAATTATCTGTTGAATAGAAATATCTGTCTTGAGCTATCGGTGGATGATAGCTTTGATTGTTATAAAATTACATGAGAACTAGGTGAATTAAAACTAATTACTCGTACATCTTGCATTGAGTATTGTTTCATACTTAAGCATTGAAAATGTATTGTTTTTGAGAAAAAGAGGTATATACCTTGGTAAATCTGGTTAGGGAGTGTGGTTGTGGTTTATATTGTTGGCTATGTCCTTGGTGAAAGTCTAAAAACCTACGCGGTTAGGTGTCGATCCTTCCGGTTAGTACCAGTAAAATGGCTTTAGAAGTGCTTGTATATCCTACTGACAGACACGTACCTAGAGATTACTAGTGTTTTATATCCACTGCCCTGCCTTCTGATATAAAAATGATATTTTTCATGAATTGATATATAATCTTGACATTCCATTGTTTGAAATAGAAATGTAAAACGTTTGACAAATGGTATGCATATGCATTCACCTTTTGACTTCGTTAAGATTTATACATTGTGTTAAAGTATCTCTACTAGGCTTTAGATCACCCTACATGGAAAACAACTTTCAGATACTGATATATGCCTCCACCAAGGACATAGTTTGGGAGGACTTGAAGCCAAGAGTTTCTTTGTTTCTTTTCATGTAATTATTTTTGTACAAGCCTTGGGCTTTAATTATATTGAGTTGAACTCACTTTTGTTGCACCCAAGTATTGTCTTGGAAAGATGTAGCCATTAGGGCATTAACCTATTTGGATAACCTTTTATTTCAGTTCGATCATATGTGGCATATACTATGGATTCAGGATCTAGGATTTATGAATGTATACTCACATATGTCACCTTTTGTACAGTAAAAGAAGATAAATGAAAGGTTATTATTTCACATGTTACATTTTCTTTTTATTCTCATGAGATGGGTTGTTATTATTTTGGGGCGTTACAAAATCATTTAACTACTTCATCATCTTTAATAGAGCAATAAAAAAATGAAGTGTAAATTACATTGACCTCCCTTTAGTAAGGTTAAAGAGACCAAAACTAATGTAGATGGTATGAAGACAAAGATACACAAGGTAAAATATACATTTCAATATAAAGAGATGTTAACATCATTTTGTCATCCATACGACAAACAATTTTTTTATGAAACGGGGGCCAAGTGTTATTAAATTAAAATCTTGAGGGAGCCCAATGTAATTATGTCAAACTTGTAGAGTCTACTGTCTTTTTTTCAAACTCAGGGGAAGTCAATGTAATTTACTCAAAAATGAAAATCAATTGCTAACTGACAAACATCTGACCTTAGTATCTCCATTACAGATGCTAACTACATGCTAGGTTGAGACTGTTAACAAGTTACTTTCAAATTTAAGTGTTCCAACGGACATCATGGTAAACCATTGCTAAACATGTCAGCTCTGAAACACATGTACAGGTATGGATACGGGAACTCGTAAATACGGGTACGTTGATACGATAAAATCTAAAAAAGTAGGGTTAGGAAACGGGTACGACTGGGTACATTTGTAAAAAAATCTATTTTTTTAATTTTGAGTCATACAAAAATTAGTTAAATAGTTTAGTGTGTTAATATCCAACCTACAATTCACATTTGATGCCAAAAGTAAAGGAATAAACAAAATTAAATGTCGTTATATTAAATAACTTACAAACCATAACTTAATTTTAATATCATGCTAAGCATACAAATAAAAATGAAAAAGAAGTTTTTCTGTAGTAGAAGAAAACTATTTTGACTGAGATACACAACTTGGGAATAGACTAGGTACATTTGGGTACGCCAAAAATGATGAATAAAACATTTGGATATGTATTTCGTGTACCCAATATATATTCAGAAATATCATACGAAGTACCAATACCCAATAAGTAATCAGTACGGATACAACATGTTTGTCGAAATATGCTTCATAGCATGTCAGTAGTTAGAATCTTTGCAAAAGTTATTATTTGATGTTTTTAGAATAATTTGGGGAAAGTTACAAGAAATAAAGAAGCGGGAGGATTGGGCATTATAAAAACAAAGGAAATGAATGAATGCCTTGATGGAATGGTGGTGGAGGTATGGGAAGGGAAGAAATTCTCTCTAGAGGAGAATTATAAGTTGTAAGTCAAGATCAGAGAGTAATTCATGGCTGCCTCTTGACACTTCTCCACACAATTCATCTAGAGTTTGGAAAGATATCATGGCTATCAAAAACAGATACCCAGATTTGTATAGCTTCTTTGTTTCAAATATTGAATTCTCCATTGGGAATGGCAGTATAACTGTCTTTTTGGAATGATAAATGGCTGGATAATATTGTCCTTAAAGAGGAGTTCCCAAGGTTATTTAATCTTGACATCTCTAAAAATGATTTCAGCATTCTTCTTCATGGACAAATAGAAGAGAGGACCTAGTGGGGGAGACATTTTCAGATCAGGAGAGGTCTTAGATCAAGTGAAGAGGAGGATTTTGGGTTGCTGCAGAATAGATTAGCTCTGTTAAGTCAGCTGAATGGTGACAGAGAAGACAAGATGGTATGGAAAGCTGATTCATCAAGTGTCTTTTCTGTGGACTCTTTGTACAAATGGGTCGATGCTGCTGCAGTCCACAGAAGGAGTGTTATGTCTTTCATCTGGAAAAATCCAGCCCCTCACAGAGT